ACATCTCAACAGTGAGCATGCGCTGGACGATAGAAGTACAGCTCAATGTAGAGTACAAATGCAGGTTGTTCAGCAGTTAGAGCTACAGGTAAAACCACATTTATTTTCAATATTACCTCAGTATTCCTCACATGCCAAATCTCTGTAGTGTTTTGTAATGAGTTCCTGTGTACTCATTATTGAATGGAAGGTCCAAAACCTATTGTTGTCTTTTATTTTGTTTTATTTATTCTTTGGATAAGTTCAGCCTCAGTTCACTCTTTGGAACTGCTGCTCAGACGTTCCAAAGTTCTGAGCACCTGTGTGTGTGCAGCCAACTCTCAATGACTGCTTTTAGCGTTTCCATCTCTCTCTCTCTCCCTCCCTTCTCTCTTCTTTTAACTTGCTGGTTATCTGTTGTTGGTGCCAGTCCCTGAAGTTGCTAATATTTTTAAACTGGAGCTAGAAGGACAAGCTGGGGAGAGAGTGATAGTGAGTGTGAATGGAGAGAGAGAGAAAGTGAGACGGGGTGAGTGAGACACACAATCGCACGTTTTCTAGAGTTGTGATAGAAGTGGATTCATTCCTTATTTTGCCTTGTCCCCCTTTTCTCTTCTTCACTGAGAATAATTGAGAGTTCACTGTGCACATTTTAATATACACACATGTATTCAGCTATATATAAAATACATATAATGCGCATCTATATTTTGCGTATATAAAATCTGGTATTTGGAAATCCATTGGGCTATGTTGAATGTATCTTACGACGAGGGAAAATAACTTGTGCAGATCTTCCTGGGGATCACAGTTGTGAGCGGTGGGGACCGTTTAAGTGCGGGTTCTACTTCCAGGTGGAACTTGGTGAGCCACCATGTTTTAACCATAATTCCATTCTTGGTATAATTAATAGAAAATTCTCTTCTAAAAGTAAAAATTGGGTCAGAAATGGAGATTATTAAAATGCACAATTGCAAAAGCCTGACCCTGCAAACCCCATTTATGCAGCTGAGTTCCAAAATGCTTTTGAGTGCTTGATGACTCACTGTGGCTTCTTCCTCTGGCTGGTTTAGTGTAGGCAAGAGGTTAGCCGGCTAGGGGAAATTAAAACAATGTTGTACATTATATTGTTACCAGCCATCAGAAAGCCTATTTTGTATGCAAGACGGCAGTGCGGAGATATATGGAGAGCCCTAGGCTAAGTACAGAAGATAATTACATTTGGAATTTTACTGAGTTAAGTCATTTACAGCTTCAAACAGTTGCAAAGAAAAATCAGCCAAAACACACTTAAACTTTTTGTTGTGACTTTTCAGGATAGAAAAGGATTTTTAAAAATTAGTTATCATCTTATTGATAAATTACATTTCAGTAGGATTTTTCTCAAAAGTTATTTTCTTTAGCTGGTTAATATTTTCCATTTAAACTATGGATATAAACTTATTAGAACAGTAAGATATTTATACAGGCGAAGGACATATCATAAAATCCCAACATTTTTAATGTAAGTCTTTGGAAATATTTTTAAAATTTAACAAATTTATTGAGAAGAAAAAACTAAGTAGATTTAACCCATCCCCAAAGTTCATTTATGATTAAAGCACGGTAAGCTCTTGAAAAACTGGATTCAGCAAAACAAACTACATGATTATTGCTACCTGAATTTGTATGCATTGGTGGTGATATTTATAAAGTGATACGAGTTCCTACAGTAATTTTTTTGATACAATTAAATTCTTACTGACGGGCTAAAATAAATTGTTTATCAGAGTTGTGATGGTTTGCCTAGGTAGGCTTTCCAGACTGCAGATTTGAACGTGGGGCCATTGTTAATTACCCAGGAATTGAATATTTTATTAATTATTCTTCACGCTCCGCAAAGAGAAGTGAGGAGAAGGAAAGGGGTTAGACCATCAGTAAGTCAAGTACTTATCTCCTGGTAGTGTTAATGTTTTTTGGTGGGTGTGGCCTGGCAGTAGTACAGACTGATATGAGGATTCTTTTATTTCTGGATTTCATTTATTGAGAGATTTCCTATTATCCTTCAGCCCTAAATCAAACTGAAGGCAGGTTCTTCAACTCATGATAGAAATCAAAGTTGATCTGGCCAGAAGTTACGATGTGATAGCCACCTGTGATGTTCGTAGAAATATTTTTGCTTGGGAGTTTGCTTTAATGGAAGAAGGGACAGGCTTGTCCTAAGAGAGTTAAGGTGGTGACATAGTGCTGGTCAAGAGCAGGGGTTAGCAAACTACAGACCTTGGGCCAAATCTCAGGTGTTAAGAAAGGTTTTTACATTTTAAATGATTGGCAGAAAAATCAAAAGAAGAATATTTCATGACAGGTAAAAATTCTATGAAATTCAAACTTCAGTGCTTGTACATGAAGTTGTATTGGAACACGGCCACGCCCATTCATTTACTTATTATGTATGGCTACTTTTGCCCTACAGTAGCAGAGTCAAGTAATTGCAACAAAATCCAAATGGCCTGTAAAGCTGAAAATATTTACTCTCTGGCTGTTACGGAAGTTTGCCAGGCAACCCCTGATCAAGAGGATCAGAGAAAATTATTTGCATCACATTAATAGCAGCTCGTTCCCTTGGGTTCCTGGCTACATAGAGTTCTGCTTGCCCTACCTTACCTCTTCCTTCTTAGCTGTAGGTGCATAAAAGTAGTCTAGTCACCACATCGGTCAGGCTTCCCTACTAGCAGCTTGATATGACAAGTGCTTACCAATCTTCAGGGTCATGGAAAGCTGGCTAAAGGATATTCATTCATTCTTCTACTTACTCATTTAGCAAACATTACCAAGAACCTATTAATAGCAGGAACCTTGCTTGAGCCCCTACAAAGTACAACAGTGATGAAAACAGATAGGGCTGCCCTCTGGGTTCTTACATTCTGAACGGAAAACGAGACTACAAAATAATATTTCAGTGGTAGTATTCCTTCATTGGACTTTGCTATCTGACACTAAAGTATTCTTGAAAACACTAGACGTTTACTCAAAAGAAGGTTTCAATGCTAAAAAGGAACCAAACCAAAACAGGTTGTATTCATTAGTTATTATTCAATCAGATGGAATAGATAAGAAGCTGTCAACAGTTTTTAGTATTTAAAGAACCCTTGCCCTGAGAGAAGAGTTAAGAGAAGCCCTCATCCAGGATTAGATTGAGGGCCGGCCTGGTGGCGCACTGCTACAGTGCGCCGCTTGGGAGTGCGGCGGCGCTCCCGCCAAGGGTTCGGATCCCACATACAGACCGGTTCCCGCTCACTGGCTGAACGAGGTGCAGGCGCAACACCGAGGGTTGCGATCCCGTTGCCGGTCCCCGTCCGGTACGGGCGCGACACTGAGGGTTGCGATCCATTGCCGGACACGAAACGGCCTGGTGGCGCACTGCTACAGTGCGCCGCTTGGGAGTGCGGCGGCGCTCCCGCCAAGGGTTCGGATCCCACATACAGACCGGTTCCCGCTCACTGGCTGAACGAGGTGCAGGCGCAACACCGAGGGTTGCGATCCCGTTGCCGGTCCCCGTCCGGTACGGGCGCGACACTGAGGTTTGCGATCCGTTGCCGGACACGAAAAAAAGACAAAAAGGAAAAAAAAAAAAAGGATTAGATTGAGAATTTTGGGTTGCAGACCTAGCACATTAGGGGACATTTGGGACAAGGTACAGTTATACTCAAAGCTAGATTACTTCTAGGCTTTCTGTTTCTCTGAAGTTCAGCATTTCCGTGTTTGTGCTGTCACTTTCACCATTTCATGCACCTGTGTCTGGAAACATACTTTTTAATTTACTTAACTACCAGTCATTGTACACATAGAACCTGAGGTATTGACGAAACCAGGTCCTGGCAGCAGCAAGACTACTTTAAAGAGGTGAGCTTGTGCTCACTTTTTATCTTCATTTCCCATTGGTTTGGTCCTCCATTCTGTCAGCCACAGACTGGTGTGTTACCTCCTCCAGAAGGGAGGCTCTGCACATGGCTTTCCCAAAGGCTACTTCTTTTTCCTTAAAGTTATTTATTTTTCCTTAAAGAAGGCATTTCCCAGTCCAGGAAATACCTGAACAACCAAGTAGCTCAAAGTATATGACAAAATTACTAGTGGTTAACTTGAAGCAGATGAACGTTTGCACCACTTAGCACTACAGGAAAGAGCAATTAAGGTTTGAACAGTTCCCAAAGGGGGATCGCTGTGTAAGAGTAGGAGAAATCTCCCCCTACCATGCAGACTCATAAGGCCTCTCTCTACAGAGTGGTAGCTGAGCCTCTGGTGTTTTTAGCTGGTAGAGATACCCATGTGAAAAACAAACCCAATAAGCTCAAACTGGATCTTACAATCAATATACATTGGTGGAGGTGCATTATGTCTAACCTATCAGATCATCATGAAAGGATTCCACAGGAGAATTCAGAGGAAGGGGTCAGCTCCAAAAGCAACCAAAGCTGCTGAAGGCCACTTGAGTGCTGTCCTGTGTACCTTTATAGACCCCTTGAGTCTACACCTCAGAAACCTTTCCTCTGACACACAACAGAAGGTCCTTGTGTGTCTGATCCATCAGTCAAACCTCCCTAAAAACTTAGAAGCATTTTTTTCGAAAATAACCACTGTTACCCTTAGGAGATGGTGGCTAGAGATGTTTCCCTTCATAGAACTGTCTGTACAATACTACACTTGAATCAAACTGAAAAGCCAATAAGATTCTAATGGTGAGATTTCAGGCAGCCAGGAAGAAATCAAGATGATGGGTTGTAGTCTCTGACTTAGACCCATCACATCAGTGCTGTGCATAAGAGCTGTCCTGTTCCCATGTATTTAAAATATGGCTGGATTCACAAAACCAGAGTTTTCATAGATGTATCAATTACAAAAAGCAAAATACATCTGTATTTTTGAAATTTTTATTGGTAGATGTAAAAATATATAGTGAATGTTTTCTTAGCAGTGGACTGCTTATGTACAGCTTATAAACAGAGAAGGTTGGTTAATTTCATTCTCATGTCTTCACCCTTTTTCTGGTCTCATTGAGAGGAAAGAAGAGTCAAAAACACATCTTAGTGTGTATTCTGAACCTTTTAGAATATTTTTTACTCATTTTGTTGT